AACACGATACATAACATAAAAGAGATAAAATACACCCCACAATGGGAATAAAAAAAACATAAATATAAGTTGGGGGAGTTGGTTTTTTTTACATAACTCTGCTTCTGTTCCCTCATGTACCCCTTTCCCTTTTCCCCTTCCCTCTCATTTTTTTCGTTTTAAATCTCTTTTACTTACCCTGACCCTACATTAAGACTAAAAAATATTTTAAGGAAAGTAATAAAATTTAACTGAATTTTAAAATTTTTTTTCGCTCGGGGAAGCTTAAATATCATAGAACAGAAATTTTGTGGGTGGGGTGGCCGGGTAAAAAAGGCCGGCTATTACAATACATCCCACATTGATTTCTTACAATAAATATACTTGTCTCACCCTAGATTAAGACTATAAATATTTTAAGGTAAGTAATGAGGCACTATGTTGTAATTTTCCTTTTTATTTTTTTTTGATGGCCTTTTTTCTAAATTGCTAATTAAATTGTTAGTGTAAACTTGTTATCTAAATGTTTGTATGCATTTTTTAAGGGAAAAAAAAAGGGGGTTCCAAATTTAAAAGGCGATTTCCCCCTTTACGGCGGTAGCCCGGAAAACCCAAAACCCCCCGTATAATGGGGGCCCTTTTTCCCGTATTTTAATTTTCCCCTTTTCCAGGACTTACGTTCCCCCCCAAAAACCCTTTTCCCCCCAAACCCTTCACAAAATAATTTCCCTGCTCACACTCCAACAGCTCTCAGGTCCCATAAACTATTTGCCCTTCCCCTTTTCCCCCTATTTTGACAAGCTCACACATGCCGCCCGCTTGGGCCAAGTCTCTTGCCCCACAAAACCTGGTTTTTAAAAACCCCCCCCTTCCATTTCCTTTTGTAGGACTTCCCCATACCCCTCCCTTTCCCCAAATGAGATTTATTTCTCCCTTTCCCAAATCATCCTGTTTTTGGGTCCATCCTCTTTAAATAACCCCAAAACCAAACCCCAAAAAACCTCCCTTTTTCAGCCCCCTGTGGGGGTTGTGGTTCATCTGCAACCCGTGGGTTTAAAAAAGATTTTCCATGAATTTTTGTAAAAAATCAAAAATTAAAAAAGCCTTTGAACAGTGGGGGTAGTAAACCTCTTTTCCCTTACAGCTTTCAAAAATAAAAGAACGATATGGCTCAACAGGCACAACCAGAAATTAGGATGCTCTTAAAATACTCTTTAAAACCAACAGTAATTGATCTACCAGAAATGAAAATACCCTGGATTTGATATTCAAAAAAATGAGAACTGATCAGAAACAACAGATTCCAAAACTATTTACTCTGATCATAACACATAGGGGTTCAAACTATATTAACTCAGGGGTAGGAAACTGCATCACGAAGTTAGAGATGGGATGTCAGTAAGTTAAAATTTACAACCATAGAATTGAATTGGGGGAAAAAAATAAGCCAAGAACTATCAGACATACCCGAGAATCCGACATGACACCCAAAATACCCCACCATGCCCTAGAGAAGCTGAATACAGAAGCATACAAAGTAGTAATGAAACATGTACCATTGGGGAAACCCAGAAGATGATCAGTTATAGAGAAGAGAGCGTAGAGATGGTACAGAAGAAGAAAAGGGGTTACTGACTGCTTAAAACACAAATATGCTACAACAGAGAAAAGATATACTTAGCAGAGAGACACGAATTAAAGCAAAAACTTGGGAAAGCCCTACCTCACAAAAGTAAAAAGGGGAACAAAGGGCCATACAAGATATTGCAAGAAACCCAAATATTTCTATTCTTATGCAAAATCCCAAGCTAAAGCTACCTGAAATTCCCCCGACCACTACTAAAGGGGAGACTCGTAACGACGATACAGAAATGGGTGAATCCTAAAGAACCCAATGATCGTGTTCAGCAACCCACTAAATGACATAAGGTAAAAATGCAGAAATATTTTTCCAACCCAAGCCGCACAAAACCCAACTGACATAGACAAATCCCATAGATACGAAAAAAATGGAAAACGTGCCCACACACTCGCAACCTGGACCAGATCATGAATGCTCTATTTAAAGAAGTGCAAAGTACCACTAGCACGACCCCAGTGTTCTTTGGAGAAAGAGCTTAGATCTAGGTGAAAAAACTGGGGGCCTTAAAGAGTGCAGACATAGCTCCTTTGCATAAGGGAGGTAATGAGCACTAGCAAAAAATTACAGACCATTAGCCTAACCTTCACGTCATAAAAATCTTCGAAAGAGTGATGAGAGGGGCAGGTTACAAATTTCATGGACCAAAACACAACCAACATAACCCGACCAGCATAGTTTAGAGGTCAGGACGATCATTTTTGGGTCACAGCAGCTGAACCACTATGACAAAATTTAAAGGGATGCACTGGAAGACGACCAAACGCAGATGTGATTTACACAGATTTTGCAAAGGCGTTTGAACAAATACGATCATGGAGTGATAGTGCACAAAATGAAAGGGCCCTGGCATTACTGGGAAGTAGGCAGATGGATTTTTGGTTTCCTAACACACACAACACAAAAAGTAGTAGTGAAACAGGAAAAGATCCACATCCCGCGAGGCCCAAAGCTCAGTGCCCCAAGGCACTGTCCTGGCACCTCTGCTGTTCCTCATCCTCCTAGCAGACCATAGACAAAAACACCCGGCACACTTTTTTACAAACATTTGCAGATGACACTAAAATAAGCATGGAAAATCAGTACAGTAAAAGAACACTGAAAATGTACAGGAAGACATAAACAGGGTTTTCCAGTGGGCAGTGGAGAACAACATGACGTTCAATGGTGATAAGTTCCAGCTGCTTAGGTATGGAAAGAAGAAGAACTCAAAAGGAGCACTATATACAAAACTCAAGAGGGTCACCAAATAGAATGTAAGGAACACACAAAAGACCTAGGAATAATTATATCAGCAGACCTTTCTTTTAAAGACCATAACAAGACAAAGATCACGACAGCCAGGAAGATGACAGGGTGGGTATTGAGAACTTTCAAAACAAGGGAAATAATGCCGATGGTGATGCTCTTCAAATCGCTAGTGCTCCTCACTTGGAATATTGCTCAGTGCTGACGGCCCCGTTCAAGGCAGGAGAAATATTGGAGCTGGAACAAATACAGAGATCATTTACGGCTCACATTGAGCCAGTTAAGCACCTAAACTACTGGGAACGCCTGCAAGTCTTGAACATGTACTCATTGGAGCGGAGGAGAGAGACGTACCTGATAATATGTACCTGGAAGTTACTCGAGGGCTTGGTCCCAAATCTGCACACTGCCAAAACTACATACTGGAGTGAGAGATATGGGAGGAAGTGTAAAATAAACCCATGAGGAGCAGGGGTGCAGTGGGGACAATAAGGGAACCCTGTATCAACATCCGAGGTCCCAGACTTTTCAACATCTTACCAGACGATATCAGAAACACTGCTGGAACAAGTGTAGAAGCCTTCAAGAGGAAACTGGACAAGTATCTTCACCAGGTACAGCCCAGTAACAGCCTAGTTGATCAGGCCCTGATCCATCGGGAGGCCTGGTTATGGACCGGGCCGCGGGGGCGTTGATCCCCGGAATAACCTCCAGGTAGGTGCCAGATCAACCAGGCTATGATGGATATGTGGAGCAGCAGGCCTCCAGCAGCTACAGCCTGGTTGACCAGGCAAGCACCAGACGAGCCTGGCCCATGGCCGGGCTCAGAGAGTAGATAAACTCTCAAAACTCTTCAAAGGTATATCAAAGGTGTGTTGTACTAAGTGCCTGAAATGACTCTTTGTTGAGATTTCTGAACACCACTCTTAGATTTGCCAGACAAGCATGGCAGTTAAAGGCCTTTTGATATTCCTGCATCAACTTGTTGAAAAGTAAAGGAAGGCATTTTTGTTCCCGTATTAAAAAAAAATCATCGGGTCATTAATATTGCTTAAAATCTTGCCCATTATACTGTGTGTGTTAACCCTTTCAGTGTTGGTCCTGTTGTATTGTGGCTTTGAAGCCTGTGTCAGTCCCGTAGTATGATGCCATGAGCTCAGCTCACTCATATAAGCGCTGAGCTGTAAATTTGGGCCTGGATATGAAAGAATGGGTCTATGCGGTAAGTGTGCATCGTATAAAAAAAATCCAGCAGCATGCAGTGCATGAGGAGAAAGCTACAGCAGTGTTTTTGGTTTAAAACAGTGAATTTGTGGTGTATTTTCGTATGGTTTTTATGGTTGTATTCTCAGTTTCTTGGTCTCATTTGATAGAATGGAAGATATATTATAGAAATAGAGATGATCTTGATTAGTTTCAGGCCTGAAAGTAGCTTGAAATTGAGTTCAAAGTAGTGGAAATGTTAAATTTTTGCCAATATTCCAGAGTACACAATATGCATTCAACTAGCCAGTCTGATATGCATTTAGGAATGCGCTGATATTATTTATATAATTATTACACTAATGCATAAAAGTTAAATTTCCTATTTTTTGTCTGAATAAAAATTCAAAATGAAAAGCCAGTGTAATATAAGAGGGGTCTGGAGATGTGACTAAGGAGCAGAGGACATGTTTATTTAGTGCCAGGAATGTCTATGTTGTTTATTCTAAATCCTATTTTCAGCTGGCAGTTATTGAATTTTGTGTGAAATTGGCCAAATTAGATTTCTTATCACTATTGGGTAGATGAAATAGGTAAATGAGTGGTTTCTTGTACTCATTTGATAGAATAGAAAGAATACTAGCAAAAAAAGCTATGAGTTTGATCGACCGGAATGATGTTATTGGCCAAAAATAGTGAAAGTGGGCGAAATTGCTGATGTGTAGATATTGCCGAGACCGCTAACTTTGCGAAGGCATAATTCCGTAAGTTTTCCATGAAATTCTATACTTTTAGTTTCATTACCCTTGGAAAAAGATTACCATTTCACAAGATAAAACAAAAATTTTTTTTTTCTAAATTCTTCGACTCTGAGAGCAAGTTTGCAAGCAGAGATCGCAACACTGAAAGGGTTAATGTGGATTTTTTGTAGGTTCGTGGACGAGTGCTTCCACCTCCAAAGCTGCAATATGGAGGGCGAACTAAGCAACAGGCATTACCAAACCAGGGTGTATGGGACATGAGAGGGAAGCAGTTCTTCACAGGGGTGGAAGTTCGTGTGTGGGCAGTTGCTTGCTTTGCTCCACAGCGAACGGTTCGGGAGGATGCATTACGTAATTTTACGCAACAGCTTCAGAAAATAAGTAATGATGCTGGTAAGTAAGGAAAGTGAAAATGTTTATTATTTTTCTATTAGTGTTAATTTATTTTCACCTTTATTCAGAAGTCTGCATTTTTAATTTTATTCAGAGGTTTTGTATCAACAGGTTTTTGGTAATTCATGTCCTTAACTAAAATGCAGCAAAATGAATTTATGGAATTTGCTCAGTACCTGATTGTTCTGTATCTATTCAGTTTGCCTACCACACCTCTTTGTTATTAGGAACACAACTCTGCTCTTAAACCTCTCAAAGGAGGTTCCTCAATGCTGGGGAGGGACTCTTGATCCAAGGAATCAGGTTTGTCCTCCCATTCCTTGAACTGAACTTGATTGCCTCCAATTTTCTAGGCACTATATGACCTGTATTGGTTAAGCACTTCCTCCTAAACATGCTTTTTAATTAATTATTTTTATTAAGATAAGAGGTAAGACAGAGTAGGATTGTGGATGAGCAAGGAGGCTTTAGAGTGGGTAGGGGATGTGTAGATCAAGTGTTTACATTGAAGCATATATGTGAACAGTATTTAGATAAAGGTAGGGAAGTTTTCATTGCATTTATGGATTTAGAAAAGGCATATGATTAGAGTGTTAATGTTTTCAGCAGAAGTTTGTGGTTACAGGAAAGTGGGTGTGGGAGGGAAGAGGAGCGATTGGTGGAATGATGATGTAAAGAGAGTAGTAAGGGAGAAAAAGTTAGCATATGAGAAGTTTTTACAAAGTAGAAGTGATGCAAGGAGGGAAGAGTATATGGAGAAAAAGAGAGAGGTTAAGAGAGTGGTGAAGCAATGTAAAAAGAGAGCAAATGAGAGAGTGAGTGAGATGTTATCAACAAATTTTGTTGAAAATAAGAAAAAGTTTTGGAGTGAGATTAACAAGTTAATTAAGGAAGCCTAGAGAACAAATGGATTTGTCAGTTAAAAATAGGAGAGGAGAGTTATTAAATGGAGAGTTAGAGGTATTGGGAAGATGGAAGGAATATTTTAAGGAATTGATAAATGTTGATGAAGATAGGGAAGCTGTGATTTCGTGTATAGGGCAAGGAGGAATAACATCTTGTAGGAATGAGGAAGAGCCAGTTGTGAGTGTGGGGAAAGTTCGTGAGGCAGTAGGTAAAATGAAAGGGGGTAAGGCAGCCGGGATTGATGGGATAAAGATAGAAATGTTAAAAGCAGGTGGGGATATAGTTCTGGAGTGGTTGGTGCAATTATTTAATAAATGTATGGAAGAGAGTAAGGTACCTAGGGATTGACAGAGGGTATGCATAGTTCCTTTGTATAAAGGCAAAGGAGACAAAAGAGAGTGCAAAAATTATAGGGGATAAGTCTGTTGAGTATACCTGGTAAAGTGTATGGTAGAGTTATTATTGAAAGAATTAAGAGTAAGATGGAGAATAGGATAGCAGATGAACAAGGAGGCTTTAGGAAAGGTAGGGTGTGTGTGGACCAGGTGTTTACAGCGAAACATGTAAGTGAACAGTATTTAGATAAGGCTAAAGAGGTTTTTGTGGCATTTATGGATTTGGAAAAGGTGTATGACAGGGTGGATAGGGGGGCAATGTGGCAGATGTTGCAAGTGTATGGTGTAGGAGGTAGGTTACTGAAAGCAGTGAAGAGTTTTTACGAGGATAGTGAGGCTCAAGTTAGAGCATGTAGGAAAGAGGGAGATTATTTCCCAGTAAAAGTAGGCCTTAGACAGGGATGTGTGATGTCACCGTGGTTGTTTAATATATTTATAGATGGGGTTGTAAGAGAAGTAAATGCGAGGGTCTTGGCAAGAGACGTGGAGTTAAAAGATAAAGAATCACACATAAAGTGGGAGTTGTCACAGTTGCTCTTTGCTGATAACACTGTGCTCTTGGGAGATTCTGAAGAGAAGTTGCAGAAGTTGGTGGATGAATTTGGTAGGGTGTGCAAAAGAAGAAAATTAAAAGTGAATACAGGAAAGAGTAAGGTTATGAGGATAACAAAAAGATTAGGTGATGAAAGATTGGATATCAAATTGGAGGGAGAGAGTATGGAGGAGGTGAATGTATTCAGATATTTGGGAGTGGACGTGTCAGCGGATGGGTCTATGAAAGATGAGGTAAATCATAGAATTGATGAGGGGAAAAGGGTGAGCGGTGCACTTAGGAGTCTGTGGAGACAAAGAACTTTGTCCTTGGAGGCAAAGAGGGGAATGTATGAGAGTATAGTTTTACCAATGCTCTTATATGGGTGTGAAGCATGGGTGATGAATGTTGCAGTGAGGAGAAGGCTGGAGGCAGTGGAGATGTCATGTCTGAGGGCAATGTGTGGTGTGAATATAATGCAGAGAATTCGTAGTTTGGAAGTTAGGAGGAGGTGCGGGATTACCAAAACTGTTGTCCAGAGGGCTGAGGAAGGGTTGTTGAGGTGGTTCGGACATGTAGAGAGAATGGAGCGAAACAGAATGACTTCAAGAGTGTATCAGTCTGTAGTGGAAGGAAGGCGGGGTAGGGGTTGGCCTAGGAAAGGTTGGAGGGTAAAGGAGGTTTTGTGTGCGAGGGGCTTGGACTTCAAGCGGGCATGCGTGAGCGTGTTTGATAGGAGTGAATGGAGACAAATGGTTTTTAATACTTGACGTGCTGTTGGAGTGGGAGCAAAGTAACATTTATGAAGGGATTCAGGGAAACCGGCAGGCTGGACTTGAGTCTTGGAGAAGGGAAGTACAGTGCCTGCACTCTGAAAGAGGGGTGTTAATGTTGCAGTTTAAAAACTGTAGTGTAAAGCACCCTTCTGGCAAGACAGTGATGGAGTGAATGATGGTGAAAGTTTTTCTTTTTCGGGCCACCCTTCCTTGGTGGGAATCGGCCAGTGTGTTAATAATAAAAAAAAAAAATATGATAATGGATAGGGGAGCAATGCAGTAGAAGTTGCAAGTATATGGAATAGGTAGTAAGTTACTAAATGCTGTAAAGAGCTTTTATGAGGATAGTGAGGCTCAGGTTAGGGTGTGTAGAAGAAAGGGAGATTATTTCCCGGTAAAAGTAGGTCTTAGACAGTGATGTGTAATGTCACCATGGTTGTTTAATATATTTATAGATGGGGTTGTAAAAGAAAGGGGTGGGATTAAATTATGGGAGTTGACACAGTTACTTTTTGCTGATGATACTGTGCTTATGGGTGATTCTAAAGAAAAGTTGCAAAGGTTAGTGGACAAGTTTGGGAGTGTGTGTGTAAAGGTAGAAAGTTGAAAGTGAGCATAGATAAGAGTAAGGTGATGAGGGTATCAAATGATTTAGATAAAGAAAAATTGGATATCACATTCGAGAGAAGGAGTATGGAAGAAGTGAATGTTTTCAGCTGTTTGGGAATTGACATGGCAGTGGATGGGTTTATGAAGGATGAGGATAACCAAAGAATTAATGAGGGAAAAAAGGTGATTGGTGCATTGAGGTATATGTGGAGATAAAAAATGTTATAAATGGGGGCAAAGAAGGGAATGTATGAAAGTATAGTGGTACCAACACTCAAAAAGTTTTTTCCAGGTTTATAGGATAAAAGTTAGAGATAAGTTAGGTCCCCTTAAAAATAACTCTGGGCATCTCACTGACAAGGAGAATGAAATGTGCTCTATTCTTAATAATTTTCTCTCGGTTTTCACTCGGAAAGACACTGACAATATCCCAGTAATTAATTTTTATAGTGGGCTTGAAGATGATATATTATGCAATATCACAGTCACTAGCAAAATGGTTATCAAACAGATAGACCGTTTAAAGCAAAATAAATCCCCGGGCCCTGATGGACTTTTTTCAAGGGTTCTTAAAGAGTGTAAAATGGAACACTGTGAACCTTTAACTAATATTTTTAATTTATCTCTTCAAACAAGTGTAGTGCCTCGTATATGGAAGATGGCTAATTTAATTCCTATTTTTAAAGCAGGGGACAAGTCGTTACCGTCAAATTACCGCCCAATAAGCCTAACCTCAATTGTAGGCAAATTATTAGTCAATTATAGCTGATAATATAAGAAGTCATTTCGATAGGCATAATTTGATTAATGATAATCAACATAGTTTCACCAGGGGCCATTCCTACCTAACTAATTTATTAACCTTCTTCAGCAAAGCTTTTGAGTCCGTTGATCAGGATAAAGAATTTGATATTGTTTATTTAGATTTTAGTAAGGCTTTTGATAGAGCACCACATCAGAGACTGTTGAAGAAAGTGGCTGCTCATGGCATTGGGGGAAAAATGCTGTCATGGATCAAGTCATGGCTCACTAATAGGAAGCAGAGAGCGTGCATTCATGGGGTTAAATCTGGGTGGGGATCTGTAACAAGTGGCATTCCGCAGTGATCAGTTTTAGGCCCATTGTTGTTTATAATATAAACAACCTTGACGAGGGAATTACTAGTGACATAAGCAAATTTGCTGATGACATGAAGATAGGTAGGATAATCGATTCAGATGTTGATGTCTCACAACTTCAGGAGGATTTAGACCAACTCAAATCGTGGTTAGAAAAGTGGCAGATGCAGTTCAATGTAGATAAATGTAAAGTTCTAAAGCTCGGAAATGTCCATAACCCTAGCACCTACCAGCTTAATGATGTTGAACTTAGCTGTATAGAATATGAAAAGGATTTGGGGGTTATGGTAAGCAGCAATTTTAAACCAAGACAGCAGTGCCTAAGCTTGCGTAATAAGGCAAATAGATTGCTGGGATTTATATCAAGAAGTGTAAGCAACAGAAGTCCAGCGGTTATACTTCAGCTTTATACATCATTAGTAAGTTCTCACCTAGATTATGCAGCTCAGTTCTGGTCTCCATATTACAGAATGGACATAAATTCGTTAGAAAACATTCAGCATATAATGACTAAATTAATACATAGCATTAGAAATCTTCCTTATGAAGAAAGATTGAAGACCCTTAAATTACATTCACTTGTTAGACGAAGAATGAGGGGAGACATGATCGAAGTGTAAGTGGAAGATAGGTATTAATAAAGGGGATATAAATGAGGTCTTGAGGATAACTCTTCAGGAGAGAACTTGCAGTAATGGATTCAAATTAGACAAGTTTAGATTTAGAAAGGATGTAGGAAAGTATTGGTTTGGAAATAGGGTAGTTGATGAATGGAACAGTCTACCTAGTTGGGTTATTGAGGCTAAAACCTTTGGTAGTTTCAAATATAGGTTGGATAAATGCATGAGTGAGAGGGGTTGGATTTGAGTGGGACTTGCATATGAGAGTGGATAGAGTTATCAGAGCTTATTTCTTGGGTGGCATTGAAAATTGGGTTGGGCAAATGTTTTGTTAGTGGGATGGATTGTAAAGGACTTGCCTAGTGTGGGCCAACAGGCCTGCTGCAGTGTTCCTCCTTTCTTATGTTCTTATGCAGCGAGGAGGCGGTTGGAGGCAATGGAGATGTCTTGTCTAAGGGCAGTGTGTGGTGTAAATATTATGAAGAGAATTCGAAGTGTGGAAATTAGGAGAAAGTGTGGAGTTAATAAAAGTATTAGTCAGAGGGCTAAAGAGGTGTTGTTGAGGTGGTTTGGCCATTTAGAGAGAATGGATGAAAATTGAATGACATGGAGAGCATATAAATCTGTAGGGTAAGGAAGGCAGGGCAGGGATCATCCTCGAAAAGGTTGGAGGGAGGGGGTAAATGAGGTTTTGTTGGCGAGGGGCTTGGACTTCCAGCAAGTGTGCGTGAGCATGTTAGATAGGAATGAATGGAGACGAATGGTTTTTGGGACCTGACAAACTGTTGGAGTGTGAACAGAGTAACATTTAGTGAGGGGATTCAGGGAAACCGCATGTTTTTATATAGCCGTACTTGAGCACTGGAAATGGGAAGTACAATACCTGCACTTCAAAAGAGGGGTTTGGGGTATTGGCAGTTTGGAGGGATGTGTAATAGGTTGGTATATATATAATTGGGGGTCCTGATATTGTATTCTATGTGGAGTTTATTATATTATTTCAGGTCACTTTTTATATTGCATCTTTAATATGCTTCTAAACTGTTGTCTGGGTGCCCCTGCAAAAACAAGTGATTATGTACAAGTGAGGCGAAAGTGTTGAGTGATGAAAGTATTTTCGTTTTGGGGATTTTCTTTCTTTTTGGGTCACCCTGCCTAGGTGAGAGATGGCCGACTTGTTGAAAAAGAAAGATTTTATATTTTTCTCCCATTGTAATAACTTAAAGTTTTTTGTAGCATAGGATAAATAGATATGCATTTCATTTAATGCTACTGTTCTTTATAACAGTTGATTTTTTCCAGGCATTTTGAGGTTGTACATAGGAATGTTGGCATATAGGAGGTAAGAATTATAGAAATGTCTGTGCTTGATCATTATTATTGACTATAAGGAGCTCCCAGCATATTATCACATACTATTTAAAGGTTATATATATAGATGGAGTCCCCCTCTCTCATCAAATTTGTCTGTTGGCTATTGAATTTTGGAGGATTATTCAAAATAAGGAGTTGAACCTGTGCTTCCCCCCCCCCCCCCTTCCTTGAATCAAACATGAATGCCTCCCATTTTTCCCTAGGTGCTGTATGACCTCCATGGGTTGAGTGCTCTTCCATGAATGTAATAATAAGTCATACTTTACTTTATTTGAGTGATGAATATTTTTTTTTCTGTGGGTCACTATTTGGTAGGAAACAGCCAGTGTTATAAAAATAATAGTATAGGTTCAAAAAATTATTTACATTTTCTTATATCCAGGCATGCCCATTATTGGACAGCCATGTTTTTGCAAGTATGCGAATGGACCTGACCAGTAGAGCCAAAAATGTGTATTTTAGATGTCATCAGTTCCTGGGAAACCACAGATAATAATGTAATTTTTTTATTAATCTTCTTCATTTTTGGGAAATATAGGAAATAAATTATGAAAATTTTTTCTTTTTTGGGATTGAAGCATCCATGTATTATTAGCTTAGTATTTACATGTTGATTGGGAAGGTTACACCATTTGTGTGTTATTTTGCACTGGGAAAAAGTAAAGAAAGAGGCCCCTTGAGGTTGTAAAAAAGTGCGACTAGACATGAAAAAGGGAAATATTTACTTCCTGATGCTGCAAAGTCCTTGTTAAATAATAGACTGGGAAAAATGGACAAAACCCCTGGATCAGTTGATTTGCTGGTTTACGAAATTTTCTTTATTGTTAAAAAAAAGCCAAACAATTTTCGTCTCTATCCATCTCGCTTGCTGTTACTGGCCACGTACTCCATGCCTTATTACTTCGTTAAATCAAGAATTTACTGCACCTTTATTTAGCCTTGAAGTTTTGCTGTAAATAAATAGTAAAAGCATGCAATAGGCAATTTGCATTTCTCTGCGGTACATCCTTCAAGAGGGTGGCTTGTGATCCAAGGAATTTAATGTACCCCTTTTAGATCAAACTTGATTACCGACCATTTTAAATATAGTTCTTTCCCCACAAAACTAAGAAGTTTTTCTGTACTGTATTATAGTATTGGAATTTTCATTTTATTTGTATTTTTATAGTCAGGGCTCTTACTATCTAACTTATTTTCTGAAATTCTAGCGGAAGTGAAGAGAGTAGGTGACACTGTGTTGGGTATGGCAACTCAGTGTGTGCAAGCCAAGAATGTTAATAAGACATCACCACAAACTTTGTCCAACCTCTGCCTCAAGATTAATGTCAAGTTGGGAGGCATCAATTCTATTCTAGTCCCAGGCATCAGGTGAGAGATGCTCTAGCAATAGTAACAGTTATATCGTACAGTACTGTTGTGTAATACTGTATTGTACTGTAGTTTATTCTTAGTGTGTCTAGTAGTCCATCAATACTGCAGACTAAGTGTTTTATTGGGCATTTGTTCATGTCTGGTAGTCAACCAATTAAGCAAACTACATCCACTTAATTGAAACCTTCTTTTAAAAAATGTTTTTTTTTGCCCCCCTTGAAGTGCACATTCCCTTTTCCCCCTTGTCCATTTTATGGAGGGTTAGCTATACATTCTTTTGAGGTGACAGTTTGTACAAAATGCACATGCTCATATTTTTTTCTTATTATTTCTGATTTTAAGAATAACCGATCAGTCACAAAAATGGCATTTTTCCCTCAACACAAAAACCACTAAGCATATCTGCCCCCTTCCCTATTCTTTAAAACTTCATAAATTACACTTATTCTTTTTAGCACCTCCACACCACCCTAGATCCTTCTTGGGTACCCTGATCATACAAAACCAGCCCGTGAAAAGAAAATTTTAAATTAGTTTGAAAACACAGAGTGAAGGCACAAAACTTCAAAACCACAGTAGGTGGGGGGGGTGGTTTTTCCGTGAAAAAGGGGAAAAGTCATGACTTTAGTATGTAGTACCCCGATTTTCACATAACTTAAATTTTTATTATTTTGCTGTTTGTGATTCTAAATCCCATTAACCCTTTGGTAGGGAAAAAGAAAATTGCGAATTTTGAAATTTTTTTTCCCATGGTTTGGGTAGTGTGTCTCAATAAAAATAAAAGACCCCAAAAAAGGAATATTAAAATTTTTTTTTCAATCAATTGCCAAAAATGAGAAGACCCCAAAAAAAGGGTCTTTGCCTATCTAGGGTGAACATTTTTTTAAAAGTTCAAAGTTGCAATTTTTAAAAAAACACCAAATAATATTTTTTAATTTTATTGTACAAAAAAGACAATATCAAAGACAAAAAATTAAAACTTGTTTTCAAACTTTTGTTATTTTTTTAAAAAAATAAAAAAAATTAACAAGTATAACAAGGCACATTGAAAAGGGGAATAACTTTCAAATTTCCCACACTTTTGGGTTTCCTAAAAAAGAATAACATTCAAATACTAATTTGTAAAATTTTTCTTCCTTCTTGAGTATATTTTATTTGCATATGGGAAAGGAAAATGAGGAGTACATGATGTTTGTGGTGCTTTCAATTTGCATCTAAGTACTTGCCGGCACTGGCCTGTGAGAATTTTTTGGGTTTTGGGTGGTCTATCTTCCCCCTCTCATCACTTGAACCTTGCATCCTGTGGCAAGTACTTATCACTACTGTCAACAATTCCCGGTGATCGGTCTGGACTGAGTCCTTTCCTCCAAAATGCAAAGGGTATTTTGACTTGTCTTTGGGACTCACCGTAAAACAATTTCTGATTTATCTGGAAGGACAATAAAAACGTTTTTTACACACCCCGACTACTACAGAATTGAAAATGCATTAAATTTTTTTTATAAATATTTTTTACTGAAAATTAAAATTGGCCCCAAAAAGGCAAAACGATATTTATCGTTTCCTTTTTTGTTTTCACTTTTTTTCTTTTCATGGTGCATCACATTATCTTCACACAGACTTCTATATATATCAAAATATGCCAACTATTCATTTACACACTAGAAACACAAATGAGTACTTACCGACATTGTAGGGTAAAATCCATGGATATGATGTCACACGATGAAAAACGTATCTCGGCGACGCCAAGCTAAAGTGTTACATTTGGTCTCCAACCATGGAAGCGAGCAGAAGCCATTCACAACTTGGCTGAAGACTCGGGGAAGGCTTGTGATTGGTCAGAAATAGAGAATGGGAACCCAGATGCTCAGTGGGTGTAAGATGAATGCACTGAATATCATGCTTTCAAGAACGACAATTGTCGTTCCTGCCTACTAAAGGGTTAAGATTTTTGGTTGCATTTTCAGTCCTGAAGTCATTTCATTAAAGGCTACTGTATATCTAAATGATTTTTCCCATAGACCTAAGGTGTTCAACGAGCCAGTAATCTTCCTTGGTGCAGATGTAACACATCCACCAGCGGGTGATAACAAGAAACCGTCCATTGCAGCTGTAGTAGGTTCCATGGATGCTCATCCTTCAAGATATGCCGCAACAGTTCGGGTCCAACAGCACAGACAGGTGGGTCTATGACATCATAGTGGTGAGTCACCTCAGAAGTTAATACTGTTATAAATTGAGAGGTAAAATATTTGCAAGCATTGTAGTCCTTGCCAAATATTAATGCTATCAAGTCCTTAATATTTGTAAAGCACTGCAACAAGGCCATTCTAGTTGTGGGGATTTTTTAATTTAAAGATTCATACTTAACATGGCTTTACTTCCTTGAACGTGGTGTAACCTAAGTAGAGTATAAATCTGTTTAGGTATGTTAAGGAAAAATTCTGTTCCTGGTTTTGGTTGGAACCTTGAGCAGTGCCACAGTATGGCACTCACATACTTTATCCTTGGAAATATTTTACATGCCCATATTTTCTTTTGTGAGTAGGGTGATATTTTGTGCTTGCACTTTAAAAGAGGGTTTTGAGATATTTGCTGTTTGGAGTGACATCTGAACTGTCATATCTGTGCACCACTGCAAAGACAGTGATTTTGTGTGAATGATGGTGAAAGTGCTTTTCTTTTATGTGTCACCCTGCCTTGGTGGGAGATGGCCAGCATGTTGGAAAAAAAAAAATCTTAGAAAAGTTAGCATACAAGAGGTTTTTACACAGAAGTGATACAAGGAAGAAGTATATGGAGAGAAAGAGAGGTTAAGAGAGTGGTGAAGGAATATAAAAGGAGAGCAAATGAGAGAGTGGGTGAGATACTATCAACAAATTTTGCTGAGAACAAGGGAAAAGTTTTGGAGTGAGATTAATAACTTCAAAAAGCCTAGGGAATGAATGGATTTGAGTTGAAAATGACTAATGACATTATAATATGTATTAAGATTCCATAAGAAAGCCTACCATAACTTAAATAGCATATTAGGTTCTATAAATCCATCAATCATATCAAAATTAATATACATGGCCGTTTTTTTATTTTGTTATAACATGTCAGTGGTTGTGAAGGTCATATTCCTGTATTTCCTTAAATATGGCTCTTTTGGCATTTATATAAAAGTGCAATTCAAGAAAAAATGTTTGGGGTCTGGTAAATCAATTAAGTCTAATTTCATATTTTTTCCAAATCATAACCATTTCAGTGGCTATCACATAGAACTACATCATTGAGGCCAAGGTCTCTCACAGTTCTATGTCACAGGCTCAGCTCACTCAGAATAAGCTGGGAGTGGTAAATTTTGGCTGCCTAGATATTAGAGAATGGATCTGCATGGTGAGTGTGCACAGTATAAAAATATCCTGCCCCATGTGGTGCATGATGAGAAAAGCAAAATTAACAGTGTGTTTGGTTTAAAATTATGACTTTGAGGTGTTTCCTAGGATGTGTTTTATGGTTTTACTGGCTGTTTCTTGGTATCATTTGAGATAATGGTAGATATACTACCGAAACAGATAATTTTGGTTGGTGTCATTAAGTTCAGAAAAAGATTCTTTGCCATTTTAGAAGAATTTTTTTTTTTAAAGTGGGCACTGGGAGCATTACAGTGGACCCTCAACCAGCGATATTAATCCATTCCTGAGAGCTCATCGTTAATCAAAATAATCGTTAGTCAAGTTAATTTTCCCCATAAGAAATAATGGAAATCAAATTAATCCGTGTAAGACACCCCAAAGTATTGAAAAAAAAATTTTTACCACATGAAATATTAATTTTAATACACACAAACTGAAGAAGACATGCACAGTTACATGACACTTACCTTTATTGAAGATCTGGTGATGATTGATGGGATGGGAGGAGGGGAGACCGTTGATCTTGTTAGTGTTTAGAAACCATACCCGGCCGGGATTGAACCTGCGGTCAGAGAGTCTCAAAACTCCAGCCCGTCGCGTTAGCCACTAGACCAGCTAGCCACAATAAGATTCGTCCAACTAGGTATATTTCTACACCTTCCTATGGTGTAGAAATATACCTAGTTGGACGAATCTTACTGTGGCTAAGCTGGTCTAGTGGCTAACACAACGGGCTGGAGTTTTGAGACTCTCTGACCGCGGGTTCAATCCCGGCCGGGGTATGGTTTGTTTGCAATCGTGTCATTACGATTTCGTGAGTCTTAGTGTTTAGAAGGGGAATCCCCTTCCATTAGCACTTGAGGTAGCAGTCTTTTTCTGGGGTTACTTCCCTTGTTTTTTTAATGCCACTAGGACCAGCTTCAGAGTCACTGGACTTCTGTCGCACAACATATCTGTCCATAGAGGCCTGTACCTCTCGTTCCTTTATCCTAAAGTGTTTCACAACATTGTCAGTGTAATAGTCACCAGCACAGCTTGCAATAGCTGTGTGAGGGTGATTTTCATCAAAAAAAGGTTTGCACTTTAAGCCACATTGCACACATTTCCTTAATCTTTGAAGTAGGCAACTTCTTCAATTTCTCTCTCCCCTCCTCCGAAGCAGTTTCCTCAGGTCTGCCCTCTTACTGTTGAAGATGATCTAGCAGCTCATCAGTGGTTTGTTCTTCATTGTCCTCCTCCACCAACTCTTCCACATCCTCCCCACTAACCTCACCAATATGAGCACTAGTTCCAGGCATTTTTTCCTGTTCACCTGGGTGTTAGTCAACTGTTGTGGGTCGCATCCTGGGGGACAAGATTAAGAACCCCCAATGGAAGTAAGTTAGACAGTCTTCGATGATGCACTGACTTTCTTGGGTTATCCTGGGTGGCTAACCCTCCGGGGTTAATCGTTTCTCGGTAATTGTTTCACGTTAAGCCACACCAACAACACACACTCCACATCTTCGAGTAATACAGCTGATGGTGGTGCAGCAACAACAACAGCTGACTGTGGTGCAGCAGCAGCTGAACCTTTGGCAAGAACAGCTTCCTTGATTGCCTTTTTCTTACTCACAATAGTAGCGATGGTTGATTGGGGTTTATTATACAACCTGACCAGCTCAGAGACACGCACTCCACTTTCATACTTAGCAATGATCTCTTTCTTCATCTCCATAGTAATTCTCACCCTTTTTACTGTAGGGTTGGCACTAGAAGCTTTCTTGGGGCCCATGGTGACTTATTTTGCAGGTGCAATCACTACAAAGGCTGTGATAATATGAAATGTTCCAGTTGTTGTATGTTTGGAAGCGACCGCAGTGGCTGGCTGGCTTGTAAACACTGGCACCCATGGGACAAGTGAGGCGCGCTCAGGCCAAAGTGGATGCGTATGGTACGGAACGAATAGCGCTGGTCGGGTTTTTACGCGCTAGTTGAGGCAAAATTTTTGCGTTAAAATGTATCGCTAGTCAGATTTATCGTTAATCGATGCCATCGCTGGTTAAGGGTCCACTGTATTTATTTAGGAGGGTCTGGGCAATGAAAAGGTTAAGCAGTGATGCACTGTGTATTGTAAGGGATAACCCATTAAGCATAACGGGTTCAAGGCCTAAGCAACTCTCATATATTGGAAAAATTAACCAACAGACATAGAGCTGTCTTTGAGAGAGAACTTGCTATGTATTTTGCAAACTCTTTCATCATGAGCTGTGTTGCCTACCCTGGACTATGTACCACAAACACTAACTGCTTGACTGACCATGCTTTCAACCAGAAGGCCTGGGCTGAGACAGTTGCACGGGTAACTATTTCCAGAACCAGAACTGAATCGAGCACGTAGAGTCCTCAAACTCTAGTTGATAGAATGTTTTTGTAGCAGTATTTTCATAAGTCTGAGACTTAAATGCAATAATATTGGAATTCATCATTTTTTTTTTTTTTTTTCAACAAGTCGGCCGTCTCCCACCGAGGCAGGGTGACCCAAAAAAGAAAGAAAATCCCCCAAAAGAAAATACTTTCATCATCATTCAATACTTTCACCACACTCACACATTATCACTGTTTTTGCAGAGGTGCTCAGAATACAACAGTTTAGAAGCATATACGTATAAAGATATACAACATATCCCTCCAAACTGCCAATATCCCAAACCCCTCCTTTAAAGTGCAGGCATTGTACTTCCCATTTCCAGGACTCAAGTCCGACTATATGAAAATAACCCGTTTCCCTGAATCCCTTCACTAAATATTACCCTGCTCACACTCCAACAGGTCGTCAGGTCCCAAGTATCATTAGTCTCCATTCACTCCTATCTAACACGCTCATGCACGTTTGCTGGAAGTCCAAGCCCCTCGCCCACAAAACCTCTTTTACTCCCTCTTTCCAACCCTTTCGAGGACGACCCCTACCCCTTCTTCCTTCCCCTATAGATTTATATGCTTTCCATGTCATTCTACTTTGATCCATTCTCTCTAAATGACCAAACCACCTCAACAACCCCTATTCTGCCCTCTGACTAATCCTTTTATTAACTCCACACCTTCTCCTAATTTCCACACTCCTAATTTTCTGCATAATATTTACACCACACATTGCCCTTAGACAGGACATCTCCACTGCCTCCAACCATCTCCTCGCTGCTGCATTTACCACCCAAGCTTCACATCCATATAAGAGTGTTGGTACTACTATACTTTCATACATTCCCTTCTTTGCCTCCATAGATAACGTTTTTTGACTCCACATATTCCTCAACGCACCACTCACCTTTTTTCCCTCATCAATTCTTTGATTAACCTCATCCTTCATAAATCCATCTGCTGACACGTCAACTCCCAAGTATCTGAAAACATTCACTTCTTCCATACTCCTCCTCCCCAATTTGATATCCAATTTTTCTTTATCTAAATCATTTGATACCCTCATCACCTTACTTTTTTCTATGTTCACTTTCAACTTTCTACCTTTACACACATTCTCAAACTCATCCACTAACCTTCACAATTTTTCTTTAGAATCTCCCATAAGCACAGTATCATCAGCAAAAAGTAACTGTGTCAATTCCCATTTTGAATATGATTCCCCATGATTTAACCCCACCCCTCTCCTGAACACCCTAGCATTTACTTCTTTTACAACCCCATCTATAAATATATTAAACAACTATGGTGACATTACACATCCCTGTCTAAGACCTACTTTTACCGGGAAGTATTTTCCCTCTCTTCTACACACCCTAACCTGAGCCTCACTATACTCATAAAAACTCTTAACAGCATTTAGTAACTTACCACCTATTCCA